TCAAATAAAATAAAATTTATTTTTTAATATGTTAAATAATATAACTAATGTTATATTATTACTCTTAAATATTAATCTTAAATTTTTGTTCAGTTTATCATTCTTTGTAAATTATTTATGTGTATCATTACCCCTTTTTGTTTTTGCCAACTAACCCCAGTCAACGTTCCCGATTAAACGCGATGATCTTATTTTGACATTTGACAAGCCATTAAGAACTTGCCACGTATACAAAGAAAACTGCCATTTGTAAAAGTAAAACTGATAACTAACTGGGTAGCTGGTGCTCCCACTTAGGACAAGAAACAGAGCGCGCTGGTCGGCGTCACGGACAAGCAACTACCAGTCCTACCAGGACTAAGAAGACCGAGCGGTAGACTTCAGTTTCTCATCTCCCACCGCCTCTCCATGGACACACTTCCAGAGGCGCCTCAAGGTACCATTTCTTCAATTCAACCCTCTCTGGGTTCGCAATTTTTGATGTTCTTTCACCAATCTCTTGGAGTTCGACTTTGATCCATCTGTTTCTTCTCTCTTTCCTTCCTAGAATGGAAGAACCGAATCGGAGCTCCACATTTGCTTCTTCATCTTCTCATTCGGTCAACAGGGAGGATTCAGGTGCCGCGGCGTCGTCTTCAATTTCTTATTCGGAGGTACGGGAAGAGGTGGAGGACCGGTATCATCAACCATATCATAATCCAGACCTAGAGCATCACCACAATGGTGTAACGTACCGAGGCAACTTCTTTTCTTTCGATGATGCACAGGAGCTTATCAGTGATGACACCTGGTCTTGCATCATTGTGGTTCTCACTTTTTGGTTCTTTGGTCAGGACCTTTCTCTTCCTTTCTTTTGATTTCTTTCAATTGTTTGTAATGCTTGTATATTGGTTGATTTCCTTGCAATTTTTAGAATTGGTATTGGACAAGATTTCAAATTTTTTATTTTTATAGGCTGCTATGGTGGTGTGGTTAATATTTTAGTCAATTTTTGATTGAACAGTATCAATGACTCTGATTTTGGGGGTTTATGGATCTTCCAATATAGTGCTTGGTCCAAATTGCTCGCTTCTTATTCAGCCAAATTCTATATTTGTCCAAAGTATAACGGTAATCATTTTCCTTTTTCTTTTCTTTTCTTTTTTATTCCTTTTCATTATACTGTTTCCTTTTCTGTTGCTTTTCCTATGATTAGTGAGGTAATTCTATTTTCTTCTTGCAGGTGGAACAGTTGGTTGACACTGCTAATGGAATAGAGTTTTATGGATTTTATAACACTCCACCTCTCAATGTAGAAACTAACTGGTCTGAAGCTTATGTTGCTACTGTTGGAGTTGATTCTCACAAGGTAAGTTTGATCTAGGGGAGTGTGTCTTCAATGTCTCATTCCAATTTTTCACTAAACAAGTTTATGAGTTTGAGCTTTTTGATGCTATATAGGAGTGGATACATTATCTGAACAAGGGCTCTCAAGTAAATATCTCATATACAGTGAACTCTGGTGCCTCAGTATTCCTGATAATTGCCCAAGGTATGAACTGTAATTTAAAGCTGTTTAACTTCTGCTAGTCCGTATTTTACAGAATTGTTTGTTCATCCTCTTATCTTTTCCTTATACTCAATGTCTAAAATGGCTGTTAGAGTATGGAATCATAGAAATTTAGCTCTTCAACTTAAACTCACCTTGTCTACACAATTCTGAGTATGAAGACATTTAAAATTGGAGAGGCACCATTAAGGATAAGCAGTTCCAATCAGAACCAATGATGTTAGGCAATTGCAAAGTGTGTCCATAAAAAATGGTTTCAATTGTGATTTTTATACCTCATTCCGAATCTGACATGTTGCAGGAAATGAGGGCCTTGCTCAATGGCTTCAGAACCCAACATATCCAAACACCACCTTATCATGGAATGTTGTTCATGGTAAGATGGAGGTGCAAAATAGAAAATACCATGAAAAATTTATCGTACAAATATTTTTACCAATTTTGTAACACTTCTTTATCTTATATAGGAAGTGGTGTTATCCAGCAGGATATATACAAATCTTCAAGTTACTACATTGCACTGGGTAATCTGAACTCAGAGGACGTGGAGGTAAGTAAAAATTGTGCTTATTCTGATCTAGTTTCTTTTTCTTTTTCCTTTTCTTTTTTATTTTTTTCTAGGGATAAAGATCTAGTTTCTTGGTTTGCTTGTTTTATTATTTTAATTCACTAAGGGACGTAAGGTTGGCTAAGTGGTTATGGTGGAAGTGGCTTGCACCCATTTCTCTAACCGTTCTGGGAGTAAATGATAGAGAAACATTTTTTTTCCTAGAAAGTGGAAGGGAATTGAAGCTGGCAGGCGCCATATGTACTTATGTAGCTAGCTGGCCTATTTCAATGTTATACATCCTTTAGGACAATGTCAGAGGTATAACCAAAAAAAATAAATAAATAGAGGCTGAAGGTTTGTTTTATTTTTTGGCCAACTTTAGATGACAATAAAACTGAGCATTTTTATGGATTTTGCCTCTTCCTCTTTATGAGATGCTGTTTCTTTTCTTCTTCATCATTTTTTTTTTGGGCTTTCATCTTTTTCATGTAAAAAGTTTATATTATCTTTACTACCTCTTTTCATACATTGTACAGGTGGAATTAAATGTCAGAGTCAGGGCTTGGAAGTATAATACAACTGAAGCTTATTACAAATGTACTTTTACTCAAGGACAGTGTAGCCTGAGTGTTTTGTTTCCTAAGGAAAATTCTGTTGTCTTGACCTCTTCCGGCCCAAACTGGGTAAGTCTCTTATTTTCTTTTGATGGTTAACCTTGTCCCCATTTTTTTCCTTGAAACTGTCATCTAAACTTTGAAAACCACTCTAATGATTAAATAATGATTAGAGATGAGCTTAAAATTTTCAATCCCAAGACTCAGAAGCCTTTTTCAATAGTGAATACTATTGGCATCTTTCTAAAGGCTGTTCCAGAGGTATTCTCATAATATTATCATAGGTCCAGTTGGTCAAGCAATAACCTCTACAATAACAGGTTTTGATACATGGTTTTGTACCAGTGGCATGAGAAACATATATTTCAATATTTCTGGTCTTCTGGACTAAGTCCCTTTCAAGAGACATCTTAAGAAGTTTTTACATATTATTTTTCTTTTTGGCTGCTTCAGAATACATCTGCGGATGATTTGTCTGTCCAACTGTCATATGGACCTAGATGGATCACATATGTGTTTGGCATTGGTAAGCTTTTTTCTTCTATCAGCTTTTATTCCCAAACTCTTTTTACATATGAATTTCCTTTTTAGGTAAAATGTAAATTTATTACCTAAAACTCAATGATACAAAGCAACACACAAAAGGTTGCTACTGGTTTCTGTGTACAATGAATGAATTAATCAAAAGAAATAAAAGAACAATGTAACTAACTATCAAATCTGTCAGTACATAGGATTTCTAGCCCCCAATTTGCTGCTATATTATGTGGCATAGACAACATTCTAGGCTTTGCAAAACTCAGTACCCAATCTCTAACATCTGCACAAATCATCTCCAATATTGACGGTTCAAAGCTAAAAAATCTGTTATTAAAAATCTCTAACGTATGAATTTCTTATTTTATTTCAACTGAAAGGTGGAATGACGGTGATCATGTGGGCTGCCTTCAACTTCTTAAACAAGTTCCAATGCCACCGTGAAGATGAGAGTCGAAATCAACATGCAGAAGTTGGATCTGACAGGGCACCTCTTCTTTCTCGAAAAGATGACGATCTCTCAAGTTGGGGTTCATCTTATGATTCTCTCTCCAATGATGAGGATGATCTTGAGGAATTTCTGGAAGCCAGTACCAGTCAAGGGACATCACTTAGAGATGGTGAAAATAGTAACAATACCCGACGCCTTTGTGCAATTTGCTTTGATGCTCCTAGGGACTGCTTTTTCCTTCCCTGTGGGCACTGTGTGGCCTGTTTTGAATGTGGAACAAGGTAACTACTCTGAACCCTCCTTCCCCACCTTTGCATTAAATGTGATTTTGAAAAAAGATTGGCTTCATCATTCATCAATCTTCACCAAATTTTAAGATGCCATGCGGTACCTTACTCAATTGGTTCATGGTTTAACTGGGTTTTGCACCGTTGTCTTGAGGCATCTTACATTTTTCACGTTGTGATAGTAGAACTACAATAGTGCCCCACATATTCCATTTTAATTGTTCTGTCGGAAACTTAAATTTAACTCTATGAACTGCTCCTTCATGGAACCATCCCTTTAGACAAGGTTGCCTTAATTTCCAACATGCTTTACATGTGTTGTAAATTAATATTTGCAGAATAGCAGAAGCTGACGGAACGTGCCCAATTTGCCGTAGAATCATGAAGAAGGTGAGAATGATTTTTACGGTGTGAAAAACATGCAGCTTCATGTTACACACAGACTGCTTCAATTAATTTCAAGCTTGGAAGTGTTGTACACTATTGATTTTTCATGCCGATGGGATGTATTCATCAAAGTTAAATGAAGACCAGATATCAGCATTTTTTCAAGAAGTGGAATGACCCTGCATTTTATTTACCGAGTTGGCATTCCGCCATGTATCAGTCCACAGAATACAATAGCACATGCAAAATTTTACATGTAGAATCCTTGTTCGCTCCTTTTTCTTTCTTTTTATTTTACCTTCTTTTCAATGGTAGATACATGGAGTGCGGCGTTTCAATTTGCTTTGTTTTGTAATTGTGCCGATGCTCATAATTCATTCTGAGTTATTGAATTTCTGATAAAAAGACAGCAATTGAAATTTCTACTTGCCATGAGATTCTGAGAATCAACATCGCTAGATTTTTCCTTCTCTTCATAGGTTCTCAAAAACAATATTTGACTGTATCCATAATAATAATACAAAAATGTGTTTTACTGTCTAAATTAATTTAAATTATAAAATACTAAACACTTGATAGTATGAATAGTAAAACATAAATCCAGAATCAAGCTGTGTCAGTTTGGAAGTTGCTCTCCTAAATTTTATTTTTTTATTCATAAAATTTGAACTCAATACTTTATTTAAGAGAAACTGAATTTCTTTTATTCAGATCAACAAGTCATTAATATTAATTATACTATTTGTTATTAAAGAATGAATTGCTTGTTTCACAATTTAAATTATATTAAATTTAAAAATATAAATTATTAAATAAACAAAGAATTTTTTAATATGAAAAGGCTTAATTTTTTTTTTAACAATATTATCATAAAGTGGATTTTAACCCACTCAAAGAAAAAGAAAAATGCACCTCAAGGTGGCTAAAAGCCACTTAAAGAACCAGGTGCAAAAGGCTTAATTTTTTTTTTTTAACAATATTGTCATAAAGTGGATTTTAACTTGCTCAAAGACAAAGGAAGATGTACCTCAAGGTGGCCAAAAGCCACTTAAAGAACCAGGTGCAAAAGGCTTAATTTTTTTTTTTTATAACTAAAGTTATACATTTTAAAATAATTTAAATTAATACCATTCTTTTCTGTTACGAAATTACGGAAGAGACAGATAGAACAAGTGAAAATGGAAATGGTATAGAAAGCATTGTCAAATACTGAATGAAGAAGACAATTTGAAGACGCCCTTCGAGATTCTCCCACATCTTCTACTTTTAAACGTGGGGATACATTTCTCCCATCCTCCCACGGAAATATATTAGGCAGAGTTTGGAAACAAGTGGCACCCTTCAATGCCTTTCTCCCAGCCTCGTACTAATATAAATAATCTCTTACTAACAAGTGGCGCCAGTTATTTTTATGCCTCTTTTCATTTCTCCTTCTCTTTGGTCCACCAAAGTTGATTAATTTGGTCCCACAAATTTATAATTATTAAAACAACTTTAGTAAATTTTATAATCGTGAGATGTTATTAAATTAGTATATATGTATTAAGATTTTGTGTAAATATAATGTGTAAAATTTGTGTATAAATAAATTTTTATTCATATATAATATAACATGATAAAAAATAATATTATAGCTAGAGTTAAAATCTACTTTTATATTGATTTTACATATTACATTTATAAAAAAAAATCTTAATAATTTATGTTTTTACTTTTAATTATTAAAATTTATTATAGTTTTTTAAATAAGAAAGATAATTATCTTTAATAAATATGATAAAAAGTGAATAAATCTCAATTATCAAAAGTGAAGAGATAAATAATTAAAATTTTGTATAAATATAATGTATAAAATATATAAAACTGACATGTAAATGAACACATACTTTGATAACTTTGATAACTTTGATATTTTCAAAGAATAATGGTATGTATATAATTTTTTGTGTAACTTATTTATATATAATTTTTATATATTGTTAAATTAATAAATTTATATAATATTATAAGTTGTAGTATATTAAAAATTTTATTTTAAAATCAAATATATTATGTAATTTAAATTGTATTAAACTACATAATTATAATTATATGATGAGAATAAACTTAACACCACTCCTAACTAATAACTCTTAATTTATAATGAGGAAGGCCTTTAGACCCACTAGTCATCTATCTAATTATAAAAGACTTTTTCATATGGTGACAAGGTTCGAACCTGTGATATGTCTCACCCACCACAGGTTAAATCACTTGCCCCTATCTTATAAAAAAAAAACTTTTAATTTATAATTTAATACAATCTAAACTATAAAATAACATTTTTTT